CAAGGTCGCAGTTTGGACACATGAGCGCCATGTCCGTTGCGATCCTCAACGGGGAGAGGTTGGAGACCGCCGACCCCTACGGGCCATTTCCCCGTGCGCCTGAGCGTGCACGCGGACGTGGGCGACGGCGGGGTGCCGCACCGGGCCGATCTGTACCGGCGTGGGCTGCTGGTGGTACTCGGCATCGTGGTCGCCGATGAAAGGCCGGGAGGTCAAACATTTCCAGCCACTTGGCTGAGGAAGAGGTTTAATGAGGGTTGTAAAGGCCGGGACGGTCATGTAAAACAACCACTCTTTCTCTTCATCCAAAACTGTTTTGTGTGTTGTGTTTTGTTAACTGGGCATGTGGCAAATCGCACAGCCAGTTCCACCAACATACATACAATGTTTCTGCTCCCGTATCCACTTATAATGGGACGAGGACGCCCCTCTCCCTGAGGGGGACGAATATTACGCGCACCAGCCTGATGTGGGAGACGTCCTACTAATGGCCCTTGGTGTGGGGGACGCCCTGCCCAAGGCACGTACTATTCCTCACCCACTGTAACCTTTATCCATATTAGGATACGGGAGTAGGAGGGGTGGTCCCGCCTAGGTGCCCTGTAAGGACCTAGGTGCCCGGCGAGGCGGGTCCGCGGCTCAAAGAGGGCAGGAACCCCACACCCAGATCCTATGCGTAACAGCCAGGGCCCTACCAGCAACGTAAGGGACACCACCAGCATCAACGCATTCATCGTGAAGAACCAAGCTTGGGCCGGTCCAGCTACTTTCGTGTCGAGGCCTGGGACACGCAGCAGGCTGGAGTTCGTTACCATTACTTTATATATTTCTTCGAAAATTTCCCTCATCTTATAGCATCCCGCCTTATTCATATCGCAAGGCAAATACCTATCAGGACATTAGTCGGTTGTCACTCTGTTCAATTCTGAGTCATACTCAGCGGGAGAAGAATTCTACCTCTTGATACACCAGGGAGCAAACGCCATGTAATGAATATGAAGTTCGGGTCTCTGGGCAGAAATCATTAGGATAATACCCGGAATTGGACTAAGCATTAGGCAAATGCTAAGCAACGATGTCCGAAAATGACGCCGCAATCATGGACACAATTCGACTGTGTGTTTCCTTCCCTCCAAAAACTTCTCAGGACAAAAGTTCTCAGAACAAGAAAGTTGCAGACAGCACCCGCACGTTGATCCGTGAACGCCTGCTTGGAAATTCCGTACACTGTGTGAATTTGCATTATTGACTTCATGCGTCCCAAAAAAAGGTAGAAATGCCCCAAGGTTCCCTTCGGCAGCAGCTTGCAGACAATCGGTGTCTACGGAAATATAGCAGTCGTTATCACCCATGAGGTCACTGAACAAAAGAATTCGCGTCGATGACAAATGCTGGGCAGTGGTGTGCTGAGGCCGGACTGAATAGCTGAGAAGAAAAGAGACATTTGAAAATCTTGCGGGCAGTTAGGGAAAACACCATGTCGATTTTGTTATGCTTAGCGTCAATTTGGTGCTAGAGGGTGGGGTGGGATGGGGCGGCCTAAGCTTAACGCCAAATTGATGCTATTAACTTAAAGCGCAACAAAATCGACATATTGTCTTCCCTTAACCCATCAAACTGCGAAGTTTTGCATACAGAAGGACAGCGCAAATTCACATCAGAATGAACCATGAACATCAGAAATTTGGAGGACAGCATAAGTTGGAAGCGCTATGGTGGCTGTGTCAACGCGTTTGGCCAATGAAGCAGAGCTCATGCAGTGCTCAATTGGGCTCAACCTGTGCCGTCCCGCGGATCCTACAGAAAAATGACGATTTCTGTCGCAAGAGAATAGAACACAAAGGGAGAGAAAGCCTTGCTCCATTTAATGTCTGTTTTCTGCTTAGTCGGTGCTCGGTCTTTCGTGCATGTGTGCTTGCCGCGTGGACGCATGTGGAGGTCCATATCCCTATGGAGGTCTGAGGGGAAAGGCCCCGCGGAATGTGGCGCATTATGGCCTCGCAGATTCAAAACACAAATTCACCCCTGCCCCCGGTCCACGCAGCAAGAGCTATTGAACTCAAAATCGCTTGTGCGCCGACGCTGACACAGTGGAAGCGAAAGCACCCAGGCAACAGCAGGCGGGGAACGCTAGTTGTACGAGTAGAGAAGAACTGCGGGCAGGAGCCGCGCTTGTCTAGGAGTCTGGGATTCAGGCTCACTGGGAGGGGTGGCAGAATCGCTGCGTGACGAACCAAATCATCCTTGTCTCCAGCTCTGGGAGTGGGCTGCCAGGGGAGTTTGAGGAATAGTTGCCACTGACACAGTCACGGACTGCGTGCATCGCTAACCCGCTGCACTGGGCACCGAAACTGACGGTCAACAAATCTGATGGAATCAAGGAAGGCATTCTGCCCAACTCTGCGTTTTGATCCCCAGGTTGGTTGGATCCTTTCTGCTCAGCCTCGAATCTGGAACCAAGTGCGGCCATACGTGCCAGGGCTACCATTATGCTCCAGCTAAGCTTTTGCACTCCTGCCATGCCCACCAGAGATTTGTGCATTTACTTGCAGTATTTTCTCTTTCAGGTCTGGGACTACTTTCAACGCTGGTTTGGGTCGGAAAATCTACAAGATATATGCAAAGCACTGTGTCGTCCATCCTTGAGCACATCCCTGAGGGTCAATATCCTGAGGACAACACCACAGGTCGGTAACAATTGCTGAAGGTGCCAGAGAAGCGATTCTCCAATAAAAAGCAACACAACTGTTGAAAAATTGACCATTCAATGATTCCTTGCCCATTGAATAATTCCCATCTCCATTGTTCAGGATGTGCTGCAGAAGTTGGGGATGCTTCTGCCAGCCAACACCCTGGCAGATTGCCAGCCAGCCGTTCATGCTGGCATCGATGGGATTGTTGTGCTGAAGGGAATGGGCCCTAAGACTGTGGACTATTCAGAAGAAGGTACCTGCATGGCTCAGTGTATGCTTGTTTGAGTTCACACCTGTTTGCCAATGACCTGAGCTCTGCACTTCAAGGCCTGACTGCAAGGCCGATTGCTTCCCATCATTTTGCTGGCTACAAGATGCTCTGCTTGTTTAGGTCTTAAAGAAATAGTGGTGGACCGAAAGACGGGGGAGGCTGTTCTACGAGGAGCAGATGTTTTTGTTCCAGGCGTACTGGCATGCAGCCCTGGCCTCTCCAAGGGAGACAGGGTCGCAGTTTGCATCGCCCTGGAAAGGCCGGGCAGGTTGCGCAAACCCTGAAAAATTGATTATGTGGAATACAGCACAATATCATTGCCGCATTGGCTATGTTGGACCAGGCAAACTGCATGCCCTGGTTTGCACGACTCCCATGTTGTGGTGAAGGTTTGGTCCTGAAACATGGATGGAGCAGCAGTTCCCTCAAATGGTTACATCAGGGGCGGGTGCAGTTGACACTGCCTGAGTTGCAGTAAATTGCAGGGCACACAGACCATCGCCTGGAAGTCAAGAGCGGAATGTCCCCAGGCAGGCGTGCAAAACCCTGGCATCCTTTACTGAGGGGACTTTCCTGGGCTGTGAAGTGTGATAACCATTCTCATGCACTGGCCCTGCTGACACACACATTGCTATCAGCTCATCAGTGACACGGTGTGTTGTGATGGCTTGCTGGCGGTCTGCTCACTGTGATGTTGCATTTGCTGTCTAATGGGGAAGTTGATCATCCTTAGTGCACAACAATATCGGTGTGTTCTTTGCAGTGACTGGTGTGGCATCACTCGCGGCACTGTGCTTGGCTCGGATCACAGCCAGGCGCTGGACGCAGTCGACCGTTCATCATTGTACATTGGGATCGGTCGTGCCCAAATGTCAAGAGTCGAATTGTTCCGAGTGCGCCAGGGAGTGGCAGTGACGATGGAAGACCCTGTGTTTCGAATACCTTCATGCAGTGGTATGGACGGAGATATCGTCACTTGCCGATTTTTATGCGGAGTGTGAATATGACAAGTGTAATATTTGCAACTTGAAATGGAGCCTGGTCTTGGTGTCAGTTTGGGAAAGCCTTCTAAAAGTCCTCAACAGGTATTATGTATATCAGAGCATGGTACAACACTACCTTTTCACATGCAGAGGAGGAACTCCTTGCTACACCATGTATGATCCGAGGCTAATGTATTGAGTCTGTTGTGCGGCTTGTTGCCTCAGGGCTTTTAATTGGGGATGCCATGCTGCAGAACCTCCCCAGCTTTATTGCTGCCAAGGTGTTGGCCCCGCGACCTGGATGGCGTGTCATTGACATGTGTGCAGCACCAGGCGGAAAGACAACAGCCATTGCGGCATTGATGCAAGATCAAGGCCAGGTCATTGCACTAGACAGAACGCACAGAAAGGTGATCATCTACTATTTTAGCCATCGATACCTTCGCAATTAGAATAGGTGCTTGAATGAGTGCAACAAAAAGTTGATTTGCCCAACTATTCTGCTGTGACATGTCTGCCATTTTCTCCTCCTACACGGGTGGCGTTGGCAACGGCTACTTGTCTGAGGAGTTGTCCTTGGTATAAAGTAGAAATCAAAAGCATTGAATGTCGTTGCAGTACAGCATTTAGGATGTTTGTAGGCCCCCCAGCTCACGGAGATGGACACCATTCTCATCTCACCTGACCAGCTATTTAGTGTTCAGGAGAGGCTTGAAATCCAGTGCTCGTGAGAGTCAAAACTAGTGCAACTCTGCGTGCAGGCTGCCAGCATAACTGCACTGGCCTGCGAGATGGGTTTGACATGCATTAATGCCTACAAAATGGATGCATGTCACGCTGTGCTGCATGATGGGCAGCTGCAGCAGGATAGCGCCATAGAGAATCCTGTGGACACTGCCGAGGAGATCAATCCAAAGGTGGCGAAACGCAATATGCGGAAGGCAGCTGCTAGAGCGGCCAGGGGTTTGGATCCAATGGAAGGTGTGGTCGCTGTGTGGTAACAGACTGCGTGGTGATCGGTTCTGTGCTGAAATCGCGAATACGCAGAGCAGTCCTATTGAGAAAAATTGGGCATGTTCCCATTGCAAGGCCTGCGTGAACTGTACATGCTTGATGGTTGGACCACACGTGTCTTCCTGGAGGGACACTGATGACAGATGAGGGTGACGAAACAACCTTTTTGGCCATGAACCACCCTGGCGGATAACACCAACAATTGAAAGCATCGAAATTTGCAGTTTGTGATTTGTAGCGAATCACTGTCCTTGTCAGTGCAGCGACCATTTGCTGTTCATTTCGAGTGAATGAATTGAAAGGACGCTGAAACAAGTACATTAGAAGCATGAGATCTGAAGGCCATTAGCCGATTAAATATCGATCATGATGAAGATACACACTTGTGGTGTGGGAGAGGCAATCACCAGTTCCATCCAACAAAATGCTTGCGACAATTCCAGAGTGCACCACATAGGATTGGCTGAACTAGCACATCTATCATGCCGAATGTTGCGCAACATTTGTTGCATCGGGCACTTTAACCTTAGCCCTTCCTCTTTTCCGCTGCAGATCCTGGTGCCACTTGTCACACAAAGGCCAACGGCTTCACTGCAGGCAGTTTTGACGGTGTACTCTTGGACGCACCTTGCACAGCCCTTGGATTGCGTCCAAGGTTGCTGCATCGCCAAACAATGGGTGATCTCATCAGCACAGCATCATATCAGAGGAAGCTCTTGGACGTAGCTGTTCAGCTTATGAAGCCAGGGGGCTCATTGGTGTACTCAACTTGCACTATCAACCCAGGTAACACTGCACCTGTCATATGGCGTCGAGTGATGGGATTTGGGGACTGCCGTCAGTGGCGAAGCAGTTCCAATCAAATTGTTTGATGAGCTGCGTGAGCAGGCAGTGCATGGAACACTAGAAACCTGTTTTTGCAGCTCAACCTCAAACAAACTGGTGCTTTGTAAAGGTGCTAATTTGGAACTGACAAGAGCCGCAACACCTCCCAAATGATGCTTGGGGGGTGATAACAACCATTCTCAAGTGAGGGTGAGGGTTTGCCGTAAAGGCTGAACCCAATCAATGTACGCCATCATCATTATGTGCAAACTAGCTTGTCACACAGTGCATACGAAAGGCTTTCATGCCTCTTTTTGCAGTCTTTTTGACGGCTTCTGATCGTGACAATGCAACTGTGTCGTGCACATGGGCACTGTTCGCACAGCAAAATTGTTGACCATGTGCAGAAGGTGCAGAGTTCATTTGGAACTGGTCGTGTCCAGTCCCTGGTTGGCAACCTTGTCGTGTAGCATTTGCTGCAAGATTTGGCCAGCCAAATTTTGTGGTGATCGATTGATTGAATTCCTTTGGGTCAGCATTCCTGACGGATGTGCGCGTGTTTCCCTGGACAACAACATTGGACCTGGGCCGTGTGGGGCTGTGCAACTCGTGCATCAAGGCGGTCAGTAATGTGCAGTGGTGCTGTTGTTCTGCCTTACCAGAGGGGTCACCTGACCTGCTGGTTTGGACTGTCGCTGCAGGCGAAAATGAAGAGAATGTTTGGCACGTGCTGCACAGACACCCCAAAATGCGCCTGGTGTCTCAAGAGCCCCACTTGGGGGGCCCAGGTCTGGCAGGTCCAATGCATTCTGGTGGAGGAGTTAATGAGGACAAACGGCTGACTGATGAGCAGAGAGCACTGGTGCAAAGATTCGATCCTTGCAGCAGCTTGGACACTATAGGATTCTTCATTGCGAAATTCCAGAAGGACGGTCCTGAGCTGTCTGACGTGCTTGATTCCAACGATTAACACGATTGTGTGCTGCTGCCCCAACTGTCATTCACAAATAGACAGCTGGTTTTGAAAACATCCAATGCGTTTGGGTCGCAGCACAGCTGTCTGATATGCAATGAACAACAGCCATTGCCAGCCCAAGGGCGCGTACTTTTGCTGGCCACACTTCTGTATCTTCAGGATTTTTCTCCTCAAGTGCTCTATCCTTGCAGGACACACGCCTCCAGCATTGTTTTTGGGCTTGGGCTGCACATCGGTGCCTGTCGATTCTGTCACCAGTTTTGAAGATAATGTGTGCCTTCCGGTTTGCAGGTTCTTTGATATGTGTGAATGCCTTGTACGTCCTTGAGTTCTACACTTTGACATTACAATTCTGCAACTGCCATGTTTGAAAGATATGTTTGCAAAAGTGGTGAAAAATCCAGACGCAGCAAGAAGCCATTTTGTGCCATTGGCTGGGCCTCGATCGCTAATACCATCTTCGGTAACCACTAAGTGATCGGCAAGCACCACTGGCCGGATTATCTATGATGCTCACAACGAATTAAAGGCAGGTGAACATCAATGTGTCAATGCTCCAGACCCTTGAGTTGCAAAGGGCTCCACTTGTGCTGCTGGAGCGTAGGAGTGAAACTCGAAAGCGTGGGCTTCGTCTGTGGGTCAGGAATTTTGCTTGGGGGCAGTTGCACTTTGTTTGCTGCATTGCAAACAAAATGATCATTGTCAGGCTGTGCGACTCAATTATGGCAGTTGATGCACGACCGAAGGTTCCCTTGCATCGCTCCAATGGCTCTTTGAGTAGGTTAGTTTGAATTTGCTAACATTGCAAAAAATTTGAGCCCTGGATTCCAGATCTCTCAAATCTCACTCCAGATTCTGGATCCCCTTCCCAACGATATTCCCATAGAAAAGCCTGGATATAATCAAGGAGGAACTGGATGTTGACTCGTCAGAGTATCAGTCGGTATCCAAATGCACCTTGCATTTTGTAAGCCATCAGTTTGCCATTCTTGGGCACTACATGATTCAGAGGGTTTAGGCAGACTGGAAGAAAATCCCCATCCTCTGTGTCCTTGACGTTCTGTGAAAGACCTGTTGCGGAATTGACGGAATGTAATGGAGTGAATGTGTTTAAATCGGGATTAGGGGCGTTGGGAGGGAACTTTGGACGGCCAACGGGAGTGTCCGTTGTGGGCACACTTGGATTCGGTGTGAATGGCGCTGCCGCTACGCAAACTGGGTATGACTGGCTCAGTGAGAAAGTGTTTGGCACAACTCTTAAAGTTGTGGCTAGCTTATGGGCAGCGACCCTTGTTTCAGGGCGCGGTTGGTAATAAAGTCCAGGAAACCGAACTGAGCACAGTTTTGCACGGCTGGGAACGCAGTTTCGAGACGATCCGTGCAAACGGGGAACTTGGGACTAAAGGTTGGCGAAACGAGTGTGTGGCTATCTCGTTTTTCGCTCCTGCCCACCTCATCCCAGGTTATTGGCTTGAATTTTAATGTAAGGAGAGACAATTGGCAAACTGGTGTGACGGCACTCGAAGGTGTTAAAAGTGCAGAGATTCTGCGTATGTGTTCTGCAGTTTTAGAGTAGATGGTCAGGCGCCCCGAGTGTGCCCTCCTTACCCGAGTTAACACAAAGAAGGAAATCTATAAACGGGTGGGCAAGGCCCCCCGAGATTTAAGCACCTTGCACAGACAGGAGTCACTGTTGAAAGGTTACACACACACACACACACACACACACACGCGCACGCAGCGGCGGACGCTGCGACCCAGCCGGTCTACAGGGGGGGCCCTGAGCCGCTGGCCATTTGCGGCTCCGAGCCGCAGGCCATGGAAGCCGGAGGAGGACCTGCCCCCCATGCCGCTGCTCCCGGATTCGCCTTGCCCCCCGCCGCCTAGGACACGACCCCAGCCGCCTCCCCATCCGACCAGAGGACAGCCGGAGATGCTGCACGGCCGTCCTCGCCGTGCAGCTCCATCTCCACGGACTCCGAGCCCCCCCCTCGCCTGGACCATTCTCCCGATGCTGCAAGGCGCGCTGCGCGAATGGACGCTCAGCGCCCACTCCCGCCGCCTCAGCACCTCCTTTCGAGTGTGCAGGACCGCTCTGCGGGCTCCGTTCCGCCCGCATCGCGAATCTGCCCCGCGCCAACCACGGATGGCGAGCGAGGCCACCCCGAGTGGATGGAGACCACCGACTTGGCTACCCCGTCACCTGCCGATCGAGCCGACTTCCGCGAAGATGCTGCCCCGCCCGGCCCCTCCAAGCGCCCGGCCCCCGAGCCGGATGGCGCCCTCCCCGACCTGGACGAGCCTCCGGCCTCGCGCCAGCGCCAAACGGGCATTTACCATGCCCAACTCGACGCGCGGCGCATGTCCCATTACGCCGCGTCGATTCGGCCCGCCCGTCTCGACGAGCTTCTGGCGCTCCAGGCGGAACTTCGCCGCCTCAACGTCTGCCTCCGCGGCCTCGCCGACGCCGAGCAAGAGACCCCCCAGGGCCTGACGACGAAAGTCGCCCGAACCTTGGCGGACCTCGCCGGCGGTCCGGTCCGGATCCGGACCTGCTTCCGGGCCGGCCGGTTCTCATCTACGCAAGCACGCCCCGTCATCATTGCTTTTGATGACTTGGCGGAAAAAGTCCGGGTACTAAGGGCCAAGAAACTACTCTACACGGCCAATTGCCCGCCCGACCTGCGGGGCTTGAGGGTCTACCATGATCTGTCGCCCCTCCAACTTCGGTGGAAGGTCCTCCTTCGTCCTTCCTACGATTTTTTCAAGGACCAGGGAACCCGTGTGATCTGGAGGAACGGCTACCGGCTCATGGCCTACACACACGGCACCTGGGAGGAGTACATTCCTCGTGAGATTTTGGTGCCTGGAGTCCATGGATATTACTAGATGTGTTTCTCTGCTTATCTCTGGCTCTACTTTTGATCGGTTCTCTTTTTGTTCTTTTTTAAGCGGGCCGTTTCTCTGGATAGGTGGAATGCTGGAATCTTGATGGCGAGCTGGGCTTGGACATCCCATTTTCTTTATTTTCATGGG